TAGCCTCCAGTCCCCTAATCATCTTTGTTGCTCTTCTCTGTANTCTCTCTCTCTCTCTCTCTCTCTCTCTCTCTCTCTCTCTCTCTCTCTCTCTCTCTCTCTCTCTCTCTCTCTCTCTCTCTCTGTGTGTGTGTGTGTGTGTGTGTATGTGTATGTGTAAGAGAGTAAATGCCAGAGTCATAGGGAGGATGCACAGATTTTTATTTTGTATCTAATTCACTGTACAAAAAGGAGACATGTATAAAATCACGTTTCAATGAGTGTAAATTAAATATTCCGTATAGGAAATAAAGATATTGATTTTTTAAAAATCATACATTACTTCATAGCTACCTAAATCTCTACTTCCTTTTCCAACTCAGGAATACATAGTTGCAATTTTATAGCCAAGCAATATCAGCAGAACAGCTTGTTTGATTTCTAGCAACAAGCAGAAACAATTATTCTTCCTATGATTTGCTTGAAATATCAATTATGTACAGTGGAATATGGATCCTGATATCCTAAACAAGGCCATGAGTTTATTCAGATGATTGGAATGGAGTGGCAATGACTCTGCAGAGTTCTTCAGATAAGATTTTCCATCCCTACCTGCAGATGCTCAGCACAGAAATAAACTAGGAAATAAACAAACCATTAAATGCTGTATATAAAGTATATAATTCATCCTATACCAGGTAAATTCAGTGTAGTCAATAGGTTGAAGTCAATGGAGAATTTTAATATGCAACGTGACGAAGCTTGCCTGGACTATAAAAGATAATTCCATGCACTGGACTAGAACACACAAGAATGAATTGCAGCACCTATGCTTACATAATGAAATAAATAGATAAACAAAAACAAATAAATAAATACAGAAGCAGTAATAGCATAATATTTATTTGACCATAAAGTCCTATTTCATAAGAATAAACAAAACTACTCAGTTGACTCTTGTCATACAAGTGAGGTGTTTTGAGTGAGAGGGTCTGCAGTTCTTTATAGAAATGTTAGCTTTTTCACTTGGCTGCTAGAAGTTATGATAAGTTATGATATTCCTCAGGCTATAGAGATGGTTCCTGGAAAAAAAATCGATGTACTTGCTAAGAGTTGACACTGACGTGATGGCACATAATCAACCAGTCAGTCAGTCAGTCAGTCAGTCAGCCACAGAGATGCTAGAATCACTGCATAACAAGTCATATTCATTCATTTGAGTGAGTATGTGTGCCCATACGATTTATCTGAAAGACATCCCCAATTTGGAATTTGGAGGGTGGAAAAGGCTAATTGCAGGTGGCCACCTCTGGTACCCAGTGGACATCAAACAGAATGAATAATTGAGTATTTCATTGTCGCTAATCTTCACCCTGCTTCAAATTGACTGCAAGATGGGAACATATTTTGAGTGCAAGCTGCACTTGCTGATAAGTTGCGAGCCTGATAGATGGGGAAGTCACATGAAAGTGATAATCTGTCACAGGAGCTAGCCACGGGAGCATTCTCTGCCCTTGTTCCACTATCTAGGGTAACCTCAGATGGAATGGGTGATCTCCTTCTAATTGCAACTATATGCTTGGAAGGCCCCTCCACCCTTGGTGGCATTTCTGCTCACCCTTGCCGTTTGTAGATTTGTCAAGAAATGGCTAAAGCATATCTCACAGAGAAAACAGTTTAACCACAGGCTACCTTTAGGGACGACTATAATTTGATTCTTGTTGAGTTGTCTGAGCCTGAAAGCAAACGTATGATTCTGAATTCTCAAGTTGCTTCAGGGAGGTTTCAGTATGATTATCCATTGACATCGTACTCAGGTCAACAATACAGTAGTAAGAATATTATTAAACAAACATACCTTTTTATGGAATCGCATTTCTAAAATTGAAGTACAGGTAGTCCTCAACTTACAACAGTTCGTTTAGTGGCTGTTCAAAGTTACAATGGCATTGAAAAAAGTGACTTATAACCATTTTTCACACTTATGACCGTTGCAGTGTCCTCAGGGTCATGTGATCAAAATTCAGACACTTGGCAACTGGTTCATATTTGTGAACCCAAGGTCATGTGATCACCTTTTGTGACCTTCTGACAGACAAAATCAATGGGGAAGCCAGATTCACTTAACAACTGGGTTACTAACTTATCAACTGCAGTGATTCACTGAACAACTGAGGCAAGAAACGTCATAAAATGGAGTAAAACTCACTTAACAAATGTCTCACTTAACAACAGAAATGTTGGGCTCAGTTGTGGCTGTAAGCCCAGTTCTATCTGTATCATTGTATTATAGGCATAAAGTCAAAGAATTCTGAGGTTGGGATGAAACTTGGAGATGATGTAGTGCAGAAGTAAGTTCCTAGCCTTTTTAATATGAGGCCTGTTTCTTACCTTGCAAAGTTGCCGTTAAAATAGAGGTAAGTGGGAATCCAAATGCAGGCAAGAAAGGGCAAGAGATTAGTTTTGCATTATCCATTCAAAATTGAACTTTATTGTAATTGTTTTAAAGCTATTTATATCTGTATGAGTGTTTGGGGATGGGGAGAAATATATAATCATGGACTACAAGATGAGTCTGTTTTTGCCTTCAGCATAAAAAAAATGAAGTTCAAGCAGAACGGCCTTTAAACAAATATTTCACAGATATCAGTTATAATTTAACTGCTTTAATGTGTGATGGTCTTTCTATTCTGCAACAGTTCTAAATTTCAATTTGAGCATAACTACATGGATTGGCTGTTTAGTGCAGGTAAATTAAAGTTGATTAAGCCCCACTAGAAGTAATGTTGCTGAAATGTGTCATGGTTAATTTATGTTCCTGGAAACAGAATGGAATCCTAAATATCAAATTAAAAGTCAACCATATTTCAGTTAAGTGTGTCTAGAATTTCAGCCATAACCAGTGCTAACGTTAAGCACACTGGTTTCCTTCAGTGGGTTTAAGCCATATTTATATATTTAGGAAATTTGGTTTTTCTTGGCAAGATTCAGTTGAAATTCAATCAAAATAAATATAACTGTAAATGCTGACCAACTAGTTGTCTCCTCCCTCCCTCCCTCCCTCCCTCCCTCCCTCCCTTCCTTCCTTCCTTCCTTCCTTCCCACTGTTTCTTTTTGAAATGTATCACCTTCAAAATGAAGTTTTCCTGTTACATAAAATTATAATCTTTTTTATTTCAACATCAGATAGTCACATTTCAGCTGACAGTATGCTGCATGGTCTTACTCTATATCACTGTTTCTCAAACTCAGCAACTTTTAAGATATGCGGACTTCAACTCCCAGAATTCCTGGTGGAATGAAAACATTCATCTGTCTGTTGCAGTTAATATAAACTAAAGCATCATTCTCTCAAGTGGAATAATACAACTCAGAACTGGCCATAAAAGTTCCATTTGCCTGAGTGTCCCATTAGAGGGCGGGAAAAATTAAATTTTCTTCTGTTGTTACAGCTGCCTTCCCAATCTCACATTCTCCAATCATGGTAAACTTTGGTCCTTTACCTTCCCACCCAACAGCAGAAACACTGACTAGAATGAATGCTATTTGTAGTCCACTTTAGAGAAATCTGCCTTAAAGAAAATTTCATCTAGATGGCTAACTACAAAGTTAATGGTCCCAATTTTTTGAGATTCAGTGATTAAAAACTGAATTGTATCATTAGAGGATATCTTTCAATGGTCTGAGTGTTAGACAAGAAACCCCTATTCAACACGGAATTCAGTCTAATTTTTCCATATAGTCTTATGGAGGTAAAATGAAATGACAGGTATGCCAATTATTTGAACGAACAAACATATTCTGGAAAGATATAATAGTTTGCATTTGTTTGTCTTTGTTACTTTTTTAAAAAAAATACTTCACAACCCATGTTTGGGTGGTGTTAGAGCAGGGGTAGGCAACCTTGGCTCTTTTATAACTTTTATGCTGGCTCAGGAATTCTGGGAGCTGAAGTCCACGAGTCATAAAAGAGCCTAGGTCAGTGGTGGCGAACCTATGGCATGGGTGCCAGAGGCGGCACTCAGAGCCCTCTCTGTGGGTACGTGCACTGTCGCCCCAGTCCTAGGCCTTCAGCTGGGTTTTATAAAACCTTTTCGCTTTAGGCCTCCGCTGCCGTGTGCAAAAAAAAAAAGGTTCAATCAATCTGTCAATTTCAACTTCTTGCGGGAAAAAAAAAGATCTTGCAAAGTTGGAATTGATTGATTGAACTTTGTAGTCCCACCCAGTCTGCCGTTACCACTGCAGCCATACACTCCCAATTGGCCACACCCAGCCAATGGGCCACACCCAGTCAATGGGCCACACCCACCCGGCACCCGACGATGCATAAGTGGGTTTTGGGTTGCAGTTTGGGCACTCGGTCTCTAAAAGGTTCGCCATCACTGCCCTAGGTTGCCTACCCCTGTGTTAGAGGTTTGTGTATGGGGGCAGGATTGTATGTTTCAATGCATGTCTATGTCCAAACTTCTGAATTTTTTACAGTACCTTCCCAATTTATATCATCTTCTTATTTCATGCCACATCCACCCATGCCAACATAATTAAGACACATTGAACAAACTTTCTCTTAGGCAGATCCCTTCTGAATAAAATGGTGTCCTGCGTCTATTTCCCAAAATTGAAAGAAAATTCTTGTCCATCTTCCTTCCTCAAAACAGATGAAAAAAGATGAGTGCTTGTCTATGTATTCTCCTCTCTAACTTTAGCGATAAATCAAAAATGTCTTGGGTTTAGTTGCTGAAGTTCTTGTTTGTGGGAGATATTTCTTATTCCTCTTTAAAGAGTTATTTTAATTGGCTCTTTGGGCTGCCCTGTATAACAAAGCCATTACAACAGTATGCAGTTTTCGTTTCCCAGCCTTTCTTTGCCAAATACCTAAACATACTTCCGCCTTTTTTTCCCCCTGGACTCTCTCCAAGGCATGAATGAGCTGCCAAAAACTCAACCCACAGATCTCTGAGTTGTGCAGGAAGAAAGGAGGAGACAAGAAATCACTCTGTTCTCTCCTTAGGTAGCTAAAGTGTTCTGGAATGTTTGTGAGGGACAACCTCCAAATAATGGTTTGATAATTTAACAGGCTAATCTAGGCGGGGCCTGCCTAGGAACACCTTCCATCCTCTGATTGCGCAGGTTGCTTTCTTGCCTTTTTTAGGGAAGGAATAAGTTTACTTCCGTCACCACCAACAAATCTAAGCTATTGATCAGGCAAGTGGCATCTGTATGCCACCAACATGAAAGCTTTTATGTTTGTTATGCTTTGCCTTTTTGCTGCTTTTGATCCTGTGAACTGCCAAGGAGGTAATATATTCCATTTTAGCTTTTTGCTTTGTGTTGGGTAGGTTGTGTATGACAGCTGATGTTTCCTTCTATAGGTTTCTTTAAAGTGCTTGTTTTTTCCACACAGTTTCTTCTCTTCACCTCTGTTCTCTCTTGGTTGGTCTGTTGCATTTCTGTTTTTAGTGGTAAAAAATTAGCACTTTGTGGAGTTCACATTATCAGGAATTCCTAAACTGCTTGAAAGGCTTATTTGAGCTTGAGTAAGCAATGTACAGCACATTGTGTTGGGTAGGTTGTGTATGACAGCTGATGTTTCCTTCTATAGGTTTCTTTAAAGTGCTTATTTTTTTCACACAGTTTCTTCTCTTCACCTCTGTTCTCTCTTGGTTGGTCTGTTGCATTTCTGTTTTTAGTGGTAAAAAATTAGCACTTTGTGGAGTTCACATTACCAGGAATTCCTAAACTGCTTGAAAGGCTTATTTGAGCTTTAGTAAACAATGTACAGCACATTATAATGTCTGCTTTATTTGATTCTCCATTATTGATATGTTTTATCCGGCTTTTAAATCCAAGAGTGTTAGAGTTGCTCTTCATGTTTTGAAAAAACAAAAGAGGAAATAGAGCCTAAAAAATACATGGTTGCATAAGATTGGCATATGCTAACTTGTATGTAGTGATTCATTTTTTGAAATAATTTCTGTAGAAGTTCAATATATAGCAGCCATAACTTCTGGGCAGGCAGGAACTTAGGTGCATCTGTCCTGCAAATTGGAAGGATAAAGGTTTCCATAATATGAAAGGAAGTAAACCTACATTGGACAGAAAATATAAATATATGCTTCAGGAAATCAGCTGAGGACACGTGAAATTACTTGCTGAAGCTAAAGAAGCCTATTTTCTGGCTCTGAGTCAACCGTGAGCCAAAGAAGGCTGGCACAGTAAATTCAGATATGTAAATGAAGAGCAGGCACAAGCTTTAAAATGTCATAAGCTGGGAAAGTCCAGAGCAATCCTATATGATGACTATCTGAAATATCTTTTCTTTTCATGTGATAATTATGTGATAATTATAAGTTTCACTTATTGAAAAGAAGCAAAGGGGATTTCTTCTTTTCAATATGACATGGAGCAGAAAAATAAAAAAAGGAAAAAGGAAATGGAGAGCGAGGGAGGAAGGAAGGAAGGAAGAAAGGAAGGAAGGAAGGAAGAAAAGAAAGAAGGAAGGAAGGAAGGAAGGAAGGAAGGAAGGAAGGAAGGAAGGAAGGAAGGAAAGAAAGAAAGAAAACATCTTTTGCTGTAACTACCGTTACCAGCCAAGAGAAGTACAAATCCTCCTCCCGAATCTGTTTTTACACCTTTCACTCAACTGGTCAACTTAAGTGAAAAAAAAAGCCACTGGGCCTTTCCCTCCCATTTAGATTGGTAAAAGGAGGCATAGGGAGGGATTGAAAGAGGCTGTTTCTCTGTCTTTTAAATATAAATATTCCTTTTTTTCCACATTGCATTTTATAGCAGGTTTGTACAATGTATTCTGGTCAGAATGCTCCTCTTTGCCTTCAGATTCAAAACTGAATTTGAGTTCGTTCTCATTTCATTGAAGTTAAATATAGTTAATATAATTGCCTTTTAGTCCTGTACTTAAGTGACTTTTCTGTTCCATTAAAAATTAACATGTGGTAATAACTTTGGAAGATCGCCCTCAAATGGGGAACTCATGAAATCTGAGGCTGGGCCTCCACATCCTTCTGGATGGGGCAGGCTGAGGGACGGACAGTGATAGGCTTTGCAGTGCCCTTTCTTTTGTTTTCATTTTTAAATCATTTTGCTGAATAGGCCTTCCACTGAAGAGTCAAGCTCCAAACATTCATACTTGTCATCTTTCTTTTCCAAATAACTTCTCAACCTTGGGAACTTTAAGATGTGTGGAACTGAACTCCAGCCCAGAATGCTCCAGCCTGCATGGCTGGCTAGGGAATTAAGGATCTTGAAGTCTACCATTTTAAAGCTCCAAAGGTTGAGAAACACTGCTCTAAATTCTAGCATTGTGGGAAAAGAAAGCAACTGAACCTTGTTTTGAAGGAGCGTACCAATTCTGGAAATCATAAACATATCGATTGGAGGGCATTGCTCTGTGAAAAGCAAACTTTTTTCTGGTTCCTTACATCTCTATTACAGTATAACAGAGTTTGAAGGGACCTTGGAAGTCTTCTAGTCCAACTCCCTGCTCAAGCAGGAAACCCTACACTATTCCAGACAATTGGCAATCCAATCTCTTCTTAAAAACCTCCAGTGATGGAGCACCCACAACTTCTGGAGGCTAGCCATTCCACTGATTAATTGTTTACACTGACAGGAAATTTCTCCTTAATTCTAGGCTACATGTCTCTTTGATAAGCTTCCACCTGTTATTTCTTGTCTTGCCCGCAGGTGCTTTGGAGAATAGGTCAACACCTCTTCTCTTTGACAACTCCTTAAATATTGGAAGGTTACTATTATGTCACCACTAGTCCTTCTGTTTGTTAGATTAGATTTACCCAATTCCTGCAGCTGTTCATCATATATTTTAGCTTCCAGTTCTCTAATCTTCATTGTTGCTCTTCTCTGCACTCTTTCTGGAGTCTCAATATCTTTTTTGTCTCGTAGTGACAAGTATAGTCTTACCAAGGCAATATATAGTGGTACTAATATGTCACTTGATCTTGATACTATTCCTCTGTTGATGCAGCCTAGGACTGCATCGGCTTTTTTGGCAGTTGCAGCACATTGTTGGCTCACGCTTAAGTGGATGTCAACTAGGACTCCCAGAACTCTCTCACAGTAACTGCTGTTGAGCCACATGCCACATATTCCATACCTGTGCATTTGGTTTTTCTTGTCTAAATGTAAAACCTTACTTTTCTCACTATTGAACTGGACTTTGTTGTATAGAGTCCAGTGTTCAAGATCCTTTTGCATCTTGAGTCTATCTTCTAAAGTGTTGGCTATTCACCCCAGCGTGGTGTCATCTGCAAATTTGATAAGTTCTCCCTCTATCCCCTCATCTAAATTGTATATGAAGATGTTGAAAAGTTCTGGACCTAAGACAGAAGCTTGGGGTACCCCACTGCATGCTCCCCTCTGTGTAGATGTAGTTCTATTTAGGAACTACATACTGAGTGTGATTGGTTAGTCAGTTATGAATCCATCTGATGGTGATACTGTCTATCCCACATTTTTCTATCTTACCAAGAAGTAGTCTGTGGACTACTTTGTCAAATGCCTTACTGAAATCCAAGGATACTATGTCCACAGCATTTTGCTGGTTCACTAATTTAGTCACTTTATCAAAAAAATGCAATAAGTTTGCATGGCATAACCTGGTTTTGACAAACCCATGTTGACTTCTATTAATAGCTTTGCTTGTTTCTAGGTGTTCACAGATCCATTGCTTGATTATCGTTTCTAGGATTTTCCCAGGTATTGATATCAGGCTGATTGGTCTACAGTACCCTTTTTTTTTTGAAGGATTTGGAACCACATTTGTTTCAGTCCTCTGTAGTTCCCAGGGGTTCAGGATCTTTGAAAGATAAGGTTCAGTGATTCTGAGATCACATCTGCCAGCTCCTTCAAAATGTTGGAAGGTAATCCATCAGGTCCTGGTGATTTGAATTTGTCTAGAGTGGATAGATGTTGTCTTACCATTTTCTTGCCTATTTTGATTTGTATAATCTGTCTTTTATGATGCTACTTTTGATAGGATGGACCATTTTTCCTTTTATGTAAAGGCAGATACAAAGAATGAATTAAGCAGTTCCACTTCCCTCTTGTTGCTCATCACCTCCTTGCCATCTTCGTGAGTTGTTTTCCCCTTTAACATTTTCATCCATGGAATTCTTCCCAAGCTCTTTCTGTTTGTTGAAGTCAAATCTCTTAAAGTCTAGATGCTGATTTGACTTTGTTGAATTGCTTGTGCCTATATTTTATTGGATTCTGGTATGACATAGTCACTTTCTCCCCAAGTTCCTGCAAGTTCAACCCCCTGTCTCATTTCATCTCGGTTGGTAAGAATTAAGTTCAGTGTAGTTGACCCTCTAACTGACTCCTCTGCCTTTTGGGTGACAACGTTGTCTGCTAGTTCATCAGGAACCAGTTTGATTTCCCACTAGATGCAGAGTTTGTCTCTCAATTGATGTTAGGGTAGTTAAAGCCCTCCTTTATTATTGTATGTTCTTCCTGCATAACTTAGCTAACTGATAGCAAAAAGTTCATCTTCTTCCTCTGATTGGTTGGTCGGTCTGTACACTTCTGGCCATGTCATTCCTTTTCCCTTTTATATTAACCCAAATATATTTTAAGGTTTTCATCCTTGTTTTTTTCTTTGGCACTTCTATAGAGGTGCAACACCGCCTCCTCTTTTGTTAGATCTGTTTCTTTTGAAAAATTTAAATCTCTCTAGCAATATGTTCCAGTCATAGATTTCATCCTACCAGGTTTTGGTAATGGCAACAATGTCATATCTGCCCTCATGTAATAGGACTTCAAGTTCACCCTATTTGATCCTCATACTTTGAGTATTAGTGTATAGGCATTTGAGTCATATGTTTGTTTCCTACGTCTTCTGTTTTGTATTTCAGTTGTTTGATTGCCATGAGGTTTATGCTTTGGATTAGATCCTAAAATTTGGTTTTCCTCCCTGTTGTGTCCTGAGCCTGCTGAAGCATTCAGCAGGCTCAGAAATGTTGCAAACGGTCCTGGGCAGACCAAAAGCTGCCCGGGACCAGACTGGCTGTCGCCAGCCTTGTGCACATGTGCAAGGTGCGAAAACAGCCAGCTTCTTATTGGCTGACACTGTCCGGGTTCAGGACTCTATAAAAGGCCTGTGTGCCTTTTGGCTCTTGCTTGGTTGGAGAAGGAGAAGATCAATAAAGAGATTACTTGCTCATCATGTGTCTTCGTCTAATGCCTAAGAACTGAATACATAAAACTCCCCCTCCAGTTTTAATTTAAAGCCCTCCAGATAAGCCAAGCCAGTTGATTTCCAAAAACGTTATTCCCTATTCTTGTAAAGTGCAGCCAATCCCCTGCCAGAAGCCCTTCAGGTAGGAATTGTAGACGGTGGTGTAGGAACCCAAAGTTCTTTCAATGGCACCATTAGGGCAAGATGTTTATTAAGCCGGTTCAAAGTTCACACAAATGAATGAGATTTCAAGATTGCTTAAACAAACAAGAGTCTTTGTTTTTAAAGTTATCTAGAAGGCATTCTAAACAATTGTTTCTCAGATAAACCTTAATCTGTCTATTTCCTATACAGATATTTCTGTAAGTCTTTTTAATGATACTTGAAAAACCAGAAATTCTAATGTCCTTGTTCTGTAGAAGTAGCCTGGGAACTCACAAAATATAATAGAAGAAAGCAATATCTAAATCATTTTTGCCCTGTGCCAAAAAACCTGTAGTGTTTTATCCATGTACAGTAGTCACCCACACTTCTTCTTGATTCAAAGTTGATCTTTATATTTTTATGCTTTAAATGTATAATGGCCAGATGCAAAACAAAAAAGGATTCCTGTATCTTTAACAGTGGAGTAAAAGTTTCATTTGGTGGACAGAAGTCCTGTCTTTGTTGGCATTTGCCTACCGATGTAAAGTTTGATATATCTTCTATAAAATGCTGCATATTGTACACGAATAGGTGCATTCTGTCAACCTCTTGTTCATCAAATGGCTCTAACAGGCAACTTGTGGGGCCTAAAATTGACAGCAACAGACATTTTGATACTTCTCTTTTTGAAAAGTTTCTAAAGTTAACATTAGTCATGAACATTCATGAAAGTGAATGTAAGACTGTAACTGAATTCCCATTGCATACCAGTCAGAAACCAGAGTTACAAACTAGAAATCAATTCACACAGTATGGTAAGCTAAAGCTGAAAATATATCAATATCACATTATACCTTAGTTCAGTGAATAAACAAGGTCATATATGTTCTCAACTGAATGATTTTTTTTATTTATACTGCTGGGTTCTCATTGATTTAAACACAAATACCTTCACTAACACACGCACAAAATAGCTGAAAACTAATGGAAGTTTGTACTAGTTGCTGAAAGTGAAAAATCAAATTTTAAGCTTACTGGAGAAAAAAGAGAGCAATTTGATTCATAAAGAATAATCATGCATATTTACTCAAAAATAAGAGTAATGGGACTTATTTTCTAACAGCTCTGCTCTGGCAATCATATATGCAAATGAACTCTAAATAGAATCATTTAGATTTATTATGGGTTTCATGTCAGGAAACTGGGTATAACATTACAGCCAGATTCATCATGTGGTACTGTGTTCTGTGCATATTAATTTATAAGAAATAATAAATTCAGTGGGATTTATTGGAAAATCAGATGACAGCTGCAAAATGGTGTCAACTGTGATCATCTTTTAATTTTGTTTATTTATTATTGATTAGCTATTTATGCTCATGGCTTGTCCAAATAGGCATAGAATGATGTTGTATGTGTATGTGTATGTATATGTATATGTACATGTATATGATGCAAAATGTACAATTTCATATTAATATGATTTCATCAAACTCTAGGGGTTCAATTTCCACTATTCTATTTCCTAACTTTATCATCAACAGATTGTCTAGAATATTTTTTTAACCCTCATCATTGGTAGGTTCCCTTTTGTACCTATATGATAATGTGTAACTCTTAACCAGGAGTTAAATTGTAACACATTTAAAACGATAGGGCTGCACGTGTAAAAAAGTAACTCAGCATTGTGGAAAAAACTAAGTAGAGTGGCTTTGTGAGTCCACGGGAATGTTTCAGAATGGTTTTACAATCCTGTACATATTTACTTGGAAGTAAATCCCAGTAGGCTCAGTGAAATTCCTGAATTAGTGAATATAGGACAGCACTCTTAATAATTAGATAGCCCTGTGTTTTGGAGTCTTATGAAACTTGATGTTCATTAGTATGAGTTTTTCTTTTCTTTTCTGCTATCTGTATTCTGGTATTTTATGTATGGTATATTAACTCAAAGGAATGCAATAGGTAAATTCTATTGAGATTATTTATATCAGCCTAGATCAATGTTTCTCAACATTGGCAAGGTTAAGATGTGTGGATTTCAACTTGCAGAATTCCCCAGCCAGCTGAACAAGATTGGAAATACTGTCCTGAATATTAATTAATGCACATAATATAGAGACAGAAAAATTTTCTTGTTGATTATCTTAGAGCTACCATATTCTGGTTACAAAAATCCAGATGACCGTGAGATGGCAGCAAACAGATGCAGAAAATTAAGATTCCAAGATGCTTTCTGAAAGGTAGACAGTAGTTAAGATGTTTTTGTATCGTTTTGCTTCATTGTCCAAGATATTTGTATCCTAGAAATGACAGCACTAATGAACTGTTGTTAAAGGAAAGAGGTTTTGGCAGGACTCTTGCAGAAAGACAGAGTTCCAGTAGCTGTTTCTTCAAAAGAAACATCCCATTTTACGATTTACATTCATCGTGATGTCAGACCTGGCCACCAAATGCCTTTTTTTTTTTTTAGCAATGGACATTGGTGCATTGCAACATCAATCAATATCATTCAGAGTTGTCAATTATTATTTAGGCAAAGGTTCCAGGCTACAAACAACTGCAGGAGATAAATAAATAAAGTAGGTGAGACTTTACTATTGGATCACTATGCTGAGCAAGGTTTCATTTTTGTGCCATCCTTGAGGACATGGGAATAGCCTTATCAAGAATTGGCAGAACTTGCTTCCATTCAGGTGTATTTTTATTAAAACAAACATTTTTGTTCTCCAAATGCCTCTAAGTTGGTACATCTTTTCTGTTTGCTCTTTGGTTATTTTACATTATCTGGATGTTAATGAACAATCGCTTAGAATTGTCTGAGATTGGATGCAGAATCAAGTTTGATAGAGAATAAAGTAGATGACTTTTCAATTTGTTTTAAATTTATAATTCTACAAAAGGAGGACACAGAGCTCCTTTTTCTTTCACAGTTGTCCACAAGGATGACTTTTCAGAGCCAAAGGCATGAAGAAAAAAAACACCCTCTTTCATCGGGAAAAATCCATTTATCTGCATAATTACTGATTACTTAATTACATTAAGTACTGAGCTTTTCAGCACCTGGCTATTCCAGGGCTTTCACATTTAGTGCTTACCTTTTCTGAACTGGATATCATCAAATTGAACTAAAGTCTAATCCTCTATTTTCAACAATGTAAAAAAAAAAGATAGAGTTCTATTTTTAAAAATACAGGCAAGATGCAAAATGGCAAGAGAGAACTTTGGACTGTTTTCCTTGACTATTCAAGTCTAGCATTAACTACAACAAAACAATCTGCTCCTGTATTAACTGAAGTAGAGCTTTTATTTGCTTTTAGAATTCCTCTGAAGTTTCAGGATTACAGAGGATTATCCAAAATGACACTACTGATAATAGAAAAGAATTACTAGTTTGCACTTTTCTTCTCCATCTTCTGACAATTCTCTCAGTTTTCTCAAAACTGCACGTGGAGAAAGCTGGTCCTGCTTTAGAGACCGGACCGTGGTTCTGAAGATAGCCTGTGTGAATTGCTCAGAATCCGAAGTTTAAAGAATTGGATTGGTTAATCAAGTAAATATATTCAAAAGCTATAAAAAGCACATCTACAGCTAGAATGTTTAGCTCAGGGGTGTCCAACTGTGGGATTTTAAGACTTATGGACTTCAATTCCCAGAATTCCATGGCTGGCTGAGGAATGCTGGGAGTTGAGGTTCACAAGTCTTAAAGTTGCCAGGGTTTAGATTTTAAGCTCTTTGTTAGGGCTTTACACAAAATGGAGACCCAGTCACCGAGGCTTCTAAATTCAAAAGGAGCAGGGAGTGAATGTATACCCGCACTGCAACAACATTCAGCAATATTGAAAAAGCTACTGGTGCCATCAGGACACCAAT